TCTAGGCCTCTGGTAGTGAGGGCACTGCGTTGGTGGCAATGGGAATAGGGAAGAAAGGGTAGGCACTAGATATTCTGAAGAAGTGGAATCTATAACACTTGGTGACTGATTCCAGTTGACGAGTAAGAAGACTTTACTAATTACTAATTAGTAAATTACTAATTATGAATAGGCCTTCATGCTAGTCCTTCACTAAAGTTTGAGTCTAATGCCTCATCAGGGTAAGGAGAGTTGACCCTAGCTATTTGAAGGTTGTGCCAATAAAGTAAAGTGCAAGCTTGGGCAGGTCTTGCCAAGCCAGAAAGGCCTTGAATATAAGCAGCCTTGTGATGGACTATCTATCATTTGAGAACAGTCTAAATTGTCAGAGAATTATCAGGTTGGCCTCAGGGTACTGGATTTTTTGGCTACAGCAACTCTTGACTATCTCCTAGGCTGCATCGAGGTGACAATCTGCATCGATGGAGGGAGGACCTGAAAAATGAAATCACAGGCCCTCAAAGATAGAAAGATTGATAGATAGAACATTTATTTATTTATTTTTATGTCAAGAATGTTTTTATCTTATTTTTCTCAATTACATGTAAAAATGACTTTTAACATTCTTTTCTAAAAATTATTTTTGAGTTCCAAATTCCCTCCCTTCCCTCCTCCTTGAGAAGGCAAACTCTCTGATATAGATAATACTTGTGCAAAACCTATTTCCATAGTAGTCATGTCGTAAAAGAGAACATAGAGCAAAAAACAACAAAAAAAGAAAGATGAAGAAAGTGTAAAAAGTGTGCTTTGCTCTGTGTTCAGGCTCCATCACTTCTTTCTCTGGAGATGGATGCTATTTTTCATCATAAATCCTTAGGTATTGTTTTGGATCATTATACCGCTGAGAAGAGCTGAAGTCATTCATAGTTGATCAGCGTACAATATTGTTGTTACTGTGTGCAATGATCTCCCAGCTCTGCTCACTTCACTTTGTATCAGTCCATAAAAGTCTTCCCAGGTTTTTCTGAAACCATCCTGCTTGTCATTTCTTAAGACAGAGCATTTATTAAGCATTGTAGTAGGTAGAGCATTCCTGACAAGCCAGTCTGTAACCTCAAGTAGCACTATAACAGCTTAGGAAGATGAAAGGAGAGGAAGGTCTCCAATCCTGCTGCAGGGCTCCAAGGCAGAGTTCCTCCTGGGTGGTGATAAATTGGTAGGGAGAAGGAAAGTCCAGAGACAGACAGACAGAGACAGAGACAGAGAGACGGAGAGACAGAGAGTTCATGTGTGAGTTAGATGAAACATAGTTTCATAAGTCCTTGCTAAAATGGTGGTTCCAGACAGGAAGTCACCGATCTGTGGTAGAGCAGTGTGGAGCTTACTGCAAGTACTGATGAATCCATTCAGCTTCTGTCAATATTAAGTCTTACTGATGATAGGAGATGAATGCAGAAATCTCCCAAACTTTTTTCAAGTCAATGCCCAAGTCTTCTACTTCCCCCTCCCTGGTACCCCAGATTAGAATAGCCTTGAAGTTCCTATGGACTACCTTATCATTCCTTCTTTTTTTTTATAAATCATTTTATTAAAAAGTTAACATCAAACATCAGTGAAACCAACTAAAGTTGCTTATCAGTTGTTTATGTTTAAACTATAAATGTATACATTTATGTTTTAAATTAAACTAAATATGTAAAGTATTATTGTAAGAGCTAGATAAATATTACCTATTCTTATGACTCGTGTTTTCATTACTCTCTTAAAGTTTTCTTGGGATTCTTTGTTTGGCCTTTTGGTCTCAATGATTTTTTCTCTTGCTTCCTCTATCCCATCCCCTCTTACCTCCTCCAGGATTTTGCCTTTTTAATTCCCTTTTTTCTCCCTAACCTAATTTTAAATTGATTCACTTCCCCCTGGCATGCTCCTCGCTGTTTACAAATATGCTCAGAGCTCCCCCATTGTTGAAAACACTCCCCTTGAGCTAACCTCTTATAACTCTATTCCTTTTCACAAACTGCTAGAAAAAAAGCTGTCTAGACTCGTTCTCTTCACCTTTACCTCCCACTCATTTCTCAACCCCTCACAATCTCAGAAGACCTTTATGAACTAATGCAAAGCAAAAAAAAAAAAAAGTAAAAATAGAAAAGTGACTGTGACTGAATGGACAAAAATAAAAGATCCTGGTGAGAATTTTGGAACAAAGTCTGAAAAATTGTTAGGATACTTTATACACAGACATTAATTAATTTAAACATATAATAATAATAATAATAGCTAACATTTACATAGTACCTCCTACAGACCAGGCACTGTGCTAAGCACATTTACAAATATTATGTCATTTAATCCTTGAAAGAATCCCTGGAGGTAGGTGCTATTATTATCCCTATTTTACAATTGAGGAACTGAGGCAGAAAGAGTGACTTGCCCAGAGTCACAGAGCTAGTGTCTGACACTGGATTTGAACTGAGGTCTTGATTCCAGAACTGGTGCTCTATCCATTGCATATATAGCTAGTAATTCATATTTGGTTGGAGATTGTGTGGAAAAGGACCACTTCCGGGCAGCTAGGTGGCGCAGTGGATAGAGCACTGGCCCTAAAGTCAGGAGTCCCTGAGTTCAAATCTCAGCCTCAGACCAAACACTTAACACTAGCTGTGTGACCCTGGGCAAGTCACTTAACCCCAATTGCCTTTAAAAAAAAAAAGAAAGAAAAGGTCCACTTCTTTCTTCAAGACTAAAGCAATGGAGGTGACAGTTGGATGCAATGTGGTCTTGTGAATCTGGGAGTTGGTATTATCTTTTTGCTTTACTAGACTTAGTTCACCATCATTCCTCTACTGGCAGTGTCCAGTGCTCTGGTCCACCCCCACCCCACCCCCATCCCCCCAAAAAGTATCAGGGGCCAGGTCAGCTGCTTGTAAGGTTCACCACTACACAAAAGTGGCCTCATAGTATGTTTCAAACAAGAGAACCCAGAAAGAGGAGGTGGGCTGGAGACAGAGGGATGCCGAGAAGGCTGGCTGGGTCAAAGGGTTTCTGTTTTATTCTCTGCTAGACAGTAAGCTCCATGAGGGCTGAGATAACGTTTTGTAAGAACTTTGCTATCTCCTTATTGTCAAAATACTCTTCTGTATCCTGGAGATACTTAATAAAGTTTATTGAATGAATGCCTAATGAATATCCTGCCATGGATTTCTCTTTTACCTCTACCCACAAGAAACAGCTTTCAACTGAGCATCCCACTGGGCAATCCCATCTTCCCCCAGACTGGTGGATTGCAAATCTGTACTTTCTCCTAAATTGTCTTTAAAGTGTGTTGCCTCTCTTGATTATGTTTTGTTTCTGGAATCCTTCTCTATATTCTTAATGCCTGTGGATACTTTGGAACTGCAAGCAGGAGAGTTGTCCGAAAAGTTTCCAGAAATAACGGAGCAATAGCTGTCGTTGCAAACCTGCGGAGCCTCCCACTGATCCAAAATGGGCATGAACATGTTGGTGAAAATTTATATCATTGTCACCAACACTCAAAATCAAAATGTTTTTCTCAAACACTTCTTTCTTCCAATGAGGGTGTGAGCCTCAGCACTATTGATCTCAAAGGTCACTTTTACTTCTAAATCTTATGGTCGTGTTCATGAGATAAGTATCCAATAAAATTTATTGTCTCTACTGTACATACTGTGCTATGAATTTTTCTCCAGTTATTTTCAAGATATGTTTTATCCATTTTCAACAAAATTATAAATTCTTTGAGGACAGATGCTATGTAACATGTTTCTTTTGTATCCCTGGCAGCTCTTGGCACGGTTTGAAGCAATGCTGGGCTCTCAGTAGATATTTGCAGAAATGTAACAAGGGATTAAATCTAGCTGGGCTATCTGTTAAAATGCAATTTCCAATTACTGCCTATACTTTTACCTTGTTGTTCTACCCACACTTCCAACCCAACAGGTCCAAAAATGGAGTCGTTGGATTTCACCTTAAACCTTCTCTTTTTCCAGCGAAAGGCTGTAGATTCAAGACCTTCATTGGGCGATCTTTTTTTTTTTTTTTAAATTGAGGCAGAGTAACTCAGGAACAAGTTCCTAGCTCTTCACTGAAAAAGTCCTGGGTTTAAATTCTGATTCTGCTATTTACTATGTGTGTGACCTTGAACAGGCACATTTAACCTTGGTGCATCTATTTTCTCGTCTGAACAACTGAGGTGGTTGAATTAGATGACTAACTCCTATATATTTTTCGTTAACAGTGTGGACTTTTCTCATTACTTATATCACATTCGAATTTATTGGACCATACTAGACTAGCTGTTCCCAGGGGGCGAGGACCTTAGCTTTACATCCACGGGCACTAGCTTTACACCCAGCAGATGCTAAGTTATGTTTGTTGATAGGAAGAATAATTAATAAATAGTCAATAAACATTAAGCACCTACTACGTGCCAGGCACTGTGCTAAGCACGGGGTCCATCTATTGTAGGTCAAATTTTTCCCAATACAAAAGGATCCATGGGAGGTTGCAGAGATTTAACAACTTCAAAACATAATGCAAATACGTTTTTTTTTTTTAAACAAAAGAGATGTGCCTCAGAGCTAGTGAGGAAATTCAGAGAGCTCAACTAGAGAGAGAGTTACTAGATAATGGGGCCCACGCCTCCTGGCTTCTAGTTGGGAATTAAAAAAACAAAAACCTAACAAAACTCTACAAGCCCGCAGGCTGGATCGCCGCATGGGAAAGGGTCCGGCCAGCAGCAACCGTGGCCCACACATCTGCCCCGGCTTCCCTAGCTGTACAATGCCTAGAAGGGGCGGGGCCGGCGGGGGCGGGGCGGTGAGTGCCCAGTTCAGTCGCTCGCTCGTTCTTTCGCTGCCTCGCTCACTGCCGCTGCCTCGCTCACTGCCGCTGCGCTGCCGTCTCCTCTCCGTGCTCGGCTCCCGGGAGCCGGCTCCGGCTCGGGCGTGAGCCAAGAGGACGAGGACGAGGAGGAGGAGGAGGAGGAGGAGGAGGAGGAGGAAGAGGAGGAGGAGGCGGGGACACAGGCGGGGCCGCCTCGGAGCAGCAGCTGCTGCTGGTGCGGTTGCAGGAGGAAGCGGCTGGTCCCTTGAGGCTTACGGAGAAATCACGGTGGAGCGGGCAAGGTCCAGGGACCAGGTCAGTGAGAAGGTGGAGGGCGCGGGGCGTGGGGCGCGGGGCGCCGAGCGGAGGGGCCACAAGGCGAGCGAGGAAGGACGGGGGTGAGATCCGGGCGAGGCGGGCAGCGGGGGGCAACGGCGGGGCCCAGAGCCGGCTCCGCTCAGGGCTGGGGGCGCCCCTCGCCCCCGGCCCTCCTCCTTCCAGTCCCCTTTGCCTGCCCCCGGCTCCTATTCTGGGGGAGTGGTTTCACATGTTTAGACCTCCCCTCCCCGTGTTCGCTCGTTCTTTCTTTCTTTCTTTACAATCGGCGCAAAACAAACACCCGGGAAGGTAAAACAATAGCGGGGCCACCTGGAACCCGGCGGGCGCCTTAAGCGCCCACGTTCTCTGAGGGGGGTCTCTTGGGGCGGGGCCGGGCCTTGGGAGGGGGGAGGAGGAAGCGGAGTAAGTGGGAACAAGGGCACCCTGATGTACCTCGGAACCCCTTTCCAGTCTGCTTGGGCTCAGAGGGTGGGGCCAACTCAAAGCCTTGGGGACTAGGAAGAAAGCACGGGGAAATCTCAGAAGAGTAGGTTTCCCAAAAGTACTCCAGGAGCAAGGATCTTCCCAGTATTACGCTGGCCCAAACAGGGAAACAGAGGCACGGGCCTGTTCAATAACTTGCTGAAGGTCAGACCTAGCAAAGCCAAGGAATGAGTCCCGGGTCTCAGGACGCCTCACTTGCTTATGTTGTCTCGGTCTTGCTGTTGCTACTTTTATCTTTTACAACAATCTGCTTGTTTTAGAAATCGAGAGTCATTTTTTGTATGGCTGCTTCGGAATTGCTGACAGTCCAGCTTGCTTTCCTGTTCATCGGACCGGCCTGAAACAAGAGGTAGGGCTGTGACCCTCACGACAATGCAAAGAAGTGGACCCATTGACAGAAAACGCCAAATACCTCCTACCTGCTGCCAGCCCTTCCGATAGGGGTGTCTCAGATTTTGACTAAACCGATTTTTTCATTGGAGAATCCTGAGCGACAGAGCGTGTTGCATTGTTGGAGAGGGGAAGGACATCCCCGTATAATTCAGCTTTGGTGGATGAAAGGATTTTTAAAAACTCTTCTCTCCGTTTTTCTTGAGGATTAATCCCGAAGGATTCGCTGTGAGTGGGGAAACAGAGCAAGACATGTAATGTGGCAGAGAACTGGACCGGCTTCAGGATGAATCTGGACACCTCACTTAGTATAGGGCTGTGCTATAGCTCCCAGATGCCTTACCTTACTCTCTGCCCCCCTTTTCCGTAAACTGTTTCTCCATTCCCCGTCAAATTCCACTTCCAAAGAGATCCTTTGGAACTCAGGAGTGGCTAGCTAAGGAGTAGAGAACAAAATACCAGGAGAAAAGGAAGGGCCACATGTTCTTTCCCTTCCCAGGAGCAGCTATGAAGTGCTGTTTCCAAGCTCTGGCTTCCCTGGTGTTACTGGGTAAGTGGATGTGCTTTCATCAATTCAGTAGACAAGAAAGTTTAACCTCCTGTAACTGATGGTTGTTGTCCTCCATCCACACTGAGCTGTGGGTGACCCCAGGAGGCCACTGGTGTGCATCACAGAATGAAAAGGTCATTGTGTTGGCCATTTCTGAGACAGAAAAATCTCAGGGAAGGGTATTCTCGACAAATAGCAGTCATTTATCCAAATGGCAGACACTTAGAGTGATCCTTTTGAAACGCTCTCATTTTTCTTTTCATTGTACCCAGAGTAATGGGGGAGAAAGGGAGGGGTGGCCAATGGTCCTCTGTGAGCTGGTCTCTTGTCCTTTTTCCTAAACACTAGTGCTACAGTAGCCACTTGTAGTACGAATCCATTTAAAAGCAGAGTGATTTTTCTGTTGATTCTGATGACTTGGCTTTGTCTCCTTTGGTTTTTTAGCAGTTAGTGGAAACTAATGATTGATGGACTGTGTGTTTTTAGTTGAGTACTCAATGAGCACCTAATGTGTATTGAGCGGCATTGGCATTGTACATCTGGGTAGAACGTAGAGCTTGAGCTGGAAGGGACGACCTATCTGGGGGGCCATCTCAAGTGGTGTCATACTCAAATGCTGGAGACTTAGAAAACCACAAATTAACATTATCTGTGTTGTGTTGCATATTTGTTTTGCTAAATGTTTCCCAATGACATTTTAATCTGGTTTGGCAGCTTAACCTTCTATCTCCATTTACCTTTTTGAATTAAAATAGACCCAAGACTTATTCAAGATCACAAAGGCAGCATTTGTACCCAGTTTCTCTGACTCTGGAGGCCATGTGGTATAAGGAGGCTGCATCATTGCGTGTGCCATTTTATTAAGTGGAAAAATTAAATCACAAAGCTGTCTTAAACTTATGACAGTTTGTTAACAGGCAAAAGAGAGAGTTATGAAACATAATAATAATAATAATAATAATACATCAGGGAGGCATCATAAAACAGTACTATGTGACATCTAATGGGGGGGAAGGTTGTCATTGAGGGGAAAATCTGGAAGTTTGTTTTTCTTCCCATTCTTTCTCATTTGTTCTCTAGACAGCAAACTGTTGAGAATCCCTGTTCTTGATCACTCTTGTATACAAGAAAAGGCAAATCAGTGCTTTAGGGAAGACAGAGGCTGGAAGAATAGGGCTGAATTGAGGGGGATGGTTGGACCACTTTCCATGACCCATTTGAGAATTCCCAGCCCAGAGTGAGCCCCTCCCCCTCACCTGGGGAAACCCTGACCTTTTTCAAAGCCCTGAAATCTTGTTGAGTAACGTAAAATGCTTTAGTTGTAGTAGAGATCGGCCATACTAAAAGTAAATGACATTCTCTGAATCTCTTATTTGGAACTACCTGTGCCTGCCTCCCTTTCCTTTTGCTTCTCCCGTAAAACAAACACACACACACACACACACACACACACACACACACAAATATCCTCCAACCTCCTCACTATATGACTTATTCCTCTGAATTTTGAGTATGCCACTACCTTTTATGGTGTTGTTTCCATGGCAAGATGCCATCATACTTATCCCTTACTTGTGATCTAGTAGTGGAAAAAAAGCAATGGATTTGGAGTCAGAGGAAATGGGGTTCAGATCTTGGCTTTACATGCATTTAGACTGGTCATGTCTGTCCCTGGACCTCCCTATCTATAAAATGAGGGCTTTTGAACTAGGTGATCTCTTGAGGTTCTTTCCAATTCTGAAGTCTATGTGTGCATGCCTCTCCCCACCCCCCAAGTAGATTGTACTTGCCTTAAGAATCTCATATTTCTGCCTATCCTTTATGCCTAGCCCAAGTACTTTGCACTTTAAAAAAAAAAGGGGTAAACTGTAACTTTGACCCATTATTCTAGGTTCCCCTCTCTGGAGCTAAACGAAATAATCTCTCTACCGCCTAGTACCTCCTCAGAGACTAGAAAACAGTCATCTTGTCCCTCCCCAGATCTTCATATCTAGCAAGGGAACAAACATCCTTAGAACCTTTACGTTGATCTTCCTTGCTGGGATTTTGAGTCCAACCACCTCTTTGCTGTTCTCTGAAAGACCTTTCCAATTTCCCTCCCAGAACTGAACTGGAGACTTAATCCAGGTCACTTTCTTTGCCATATGAGAACTCTTGTCTGTCTCTGTACCACAGCAAGCTCAGCCGGATGTCCTCCAGAAGTTCTGGGGTGGGAAGGGCCAAAAAAGACAACTGGCTAGGCAGGAGAACATTGTCATCGTTTAAGTTTACTCATGCCCAGATACTGTCTTGCTTCGGAGAATGCTTTCTGTTTGTTCCTAATTTAGTATTGGAAGGCTGTATTAAATTTTAGTTTACTTTTTTTTTTTGGAGGGAGGGTGATTTCCCTAGGGAAGGGTGAAAAAAATCTGGAAAGTCCATGGGATGTGTGACTGGGCTGGGAAATTAGGGTAAAATGAGAGAGGGTGGGGCTGATGGGGAAGAGAATAGGCTGGGAGAGAAGGCAAAGTTGGCATTTGTGCCTTTTTTCCTTCTGGCTATTTGAATGTGGCTAAGAATGGTAGTTGTGCTTTGTGCTTCCCTTCCTCTTCTCTCCCCAACCCCCATCCCTTCACACACCTGTTTGTACAGGTGAAATCAGGTCACTATAAGCTTCCAGGGAAGCTTTGAAGGTATAAGTCACAAACATCATCTTAAGTGGTGTTAGAAAAGGGGACCGGTTCTCTCTAACCTTTTTTTTTTTTTATGAAGACTCCTTTTAGTCAATCATAGGCTAACCATAGGATGTCTTACCTAGAAGGCTCATAGGATTGGTGTGAGGGGCAGCTTAACAGAGTAGGAGGCATGCTAAGAGTGAAGGACCAAAATCGTATGGTTCATAGAAATGTAGAGCTAGAAGTGACCTCAGAGACCATCCAAGTCAACCGTTTCATTTCCCTGATGAGGACACTTGAGGACCTGAGAAATTAAGTGAACCACCTGTCCAGAGGAATGTAGGAATAAGAATCTGAGGCAGGATTTAAACCTAGGTTTTCTTGTCTCTGAAGTCCTGAACTTTATCCACTGTACCCATGCACATATAAGTCTGCTGCAGAGTAGATGGTGACAGCGTCTTCTAGGAAAATTTGGAGGAAAGAGCACTTTTAGCCAGAGAGATCAGGGAAGATGTCACGGAGGAGGTGTCCTCTAACCTGAATCTCCAAGCTAAGGGAGAAGATTTTTAACAGGTCGAGATGAGGAAGCACCTTCAGATACAGCAGGGGGCTTGTGAATGTACAAAATAGGAAGAGAACCAGGAGCTGTTTAAGAGTCCCTACAGCTAGGATAGTGAGCCAAAGACAGGAGTATAAAATAGGGTAGGAAGGGTAGGTTGAAGCCAGATTGTGGAGAGCCTTAAAGGTCAGATTCAGAGGAGTTTGTATTTATTCACTGTGCAGTAGGGATCTATTGTTGTAAAACAGGGGGCTAAAGGGCCCGAGTCTGGCACTGTTATCTTTGATTTTCCAAGAACTAGTCATGTGACCTTGGATAAGTAATTTCCATACTCTTAGGTCTCCTCCAGCTCTGAATTTGTAGAAGTCTGAATGCACCTCTTGGTGCCTTGTACTACATTTGTGCCCCTTCTCCATCATCTCCTCCCTCCCCTTTCTGGCCCCTCCTACCCAGTGACTAGCACTTCCCTGCCTCTTCCTGGCTGGAGCCCCTCCTTCCTTGCCCAGGACTGATGCCCCTCTCCCTTTGCGTAGAATTAGTTCCTCCCTTTTCTAATTACCAATATGCCTTTGCTCCTTCACTCGTAACATATCTCCTGCTCTGTAAACTGCCCCTCATCTCCCCAATCCCCTTTGAGTTCCAGAGTCCATCAGTAATGACTATGGAGCAGTGAATTTTGCTAGAATGTTGATGTATCCATAGGGAGAGGCCAGACCAGGAGCCAGGTGTGTGTGTGTGTGGGGTTGGTGGTGGTTGACCGTAATAAAGACAGAAAGGGGGTGAGAACAGAGTGCCTTTGACTGAAAGCATACTCAAAAAAGATTTTGAGAATGACAGGAAGGTAGGTGTGTGTGACAATAGATTCATACTTTCTTTCCTGTGAGAGACAGGAGGGGGGAAGGGAACAACCAAGAGAGATGAGTACTGAACTTCAGGTCATAAAGCAAAATTTCATTTTATCTGTGTGCTATGAAGAAAGAGATAGCTGTTCCACACCAAGGCTGATGCTACAAGCAGGTTGAAATCTCTTTTCAAGATGGAATATTAAAAAATGGAAATGCCACTTGCAAATATAGGGTGAGGAAATAAGTTTGGCCATCCGGGGAGTAAACATGGAACAAATAGCCCAGCTAACAGAGTATGCATTTGCATTATCTACCAGGCCATCTACAAATACTGGATTAAGTGTATTTGTAGAGTAGAGGAAGCTTCCTGTTTGATTCCCTCTCAATAGGCATTATTTAAATGCCCACAGTCTGCCAGGCACTATGCTAGGCACTGGAGGAAAAAAAAAACACCTCCAAATTGACAAACCAGGAGAGTCATTGAGTTAAGAGCTTCCATTCTGCTTGAAACTTGTTTGGACAGGGAGGGATTAGGGAAGCTATCACCTATCTTCTGAGAAGTCAAAGAAAGCTTCCAAGGGAAACAGTAGATGCTTTAAATGCTAGAGTATCAGGACACAGTTTTTTCCTGGTGCCTAGCTGAATGTGCCAGGTAAGAATCAACACCAGGTCCTACACGCTAGGAAAGCTTCCAGTGGGAAACTAGGGATGGGCTGAAGACTAGGCTGGTTTTTTAGACTGGGCAAATTGGTGAGAGGTTCATCGCGTGTAGTGAATAGAGTTCTGGATGTGGTCTCTTCTGATTCTTGTCTGGATCCCGGTCTTGATTCGAATCTTGCTTCAGATACTTACTAGTTGTGGGGTCCTAGGCAACTCGCTTAATTTCTGGGCCTCAGTTTCTTCATCTATAAAATGAAAGGGTTGAACTAGCTGACCTCTGAG